AAGAATTACAGTATAATAAACCAATTAATTAATTATTTTTATAATCATTATAATATATTTATATTGATTATGCTATTGATATTGCTATTAATGAATATTCGTATCACTAAATAATAATGATCCACCACTGCTACTAATATCCGAAAAAGTTAAAAGAAATGAATTACAAATGATAATTACTAATATTCGAAAAAGTTAAAAAGGAATTATAAATGAATAATTTTCGACTCAGAAATATAAAATTAGAAAGTAATCAAAGGTTTAATATATTTGTAACCACCAGCCAGCATCGTTTTAAAACAAATTAGCCAATCAAATGTTAATTGTCTCTCGTTATAACGAATCAACCAATTAAATTCTTTAAAGTTAAATTCTTATTATAACGGAGCCGCTGATTGTAGTATAAATACGATGTTAGAGCGGAAAAAATAAATCTTTTATACTGTCTTGCTAACTTAAACGCCTTTTTTTTTTTATTCTGATTATCCAATTAAAATAGTAGCAAAATTAATATTTTAACTGTAGTTAAATTAGCATTTATATAAAATCGCATACTTAAATTCCAAGATTTCGGATAAAATTCATTTAATATATATATCTATTTTCAACGAACCAAATTTTACTTTTCACGTCTTTTATATAAAATTGTATACTGAAATTTCAAAGCAAAACGTGAATTCAGATAAAATTAATTTATTATATTTTTCTTTTTACGAAACAAATTTTTACTTTGCACGTAATCAAAAAAAAAATTGCCTTTTATATAAATCGCATAAAATTTATGTTATATTTTTTTTTTAACGAAACAAATTTCAATTTACACACACAAGAAAATTGCCTTTGCATAAAATCGCATAAATTTATTTATTATATATTTTTTTCTTAGCGAGATCAAATTTTTACCGTGCACGTTATAAGTGAACGAGAAAATGTCATTTCATAAAATCTGCCCAGAATGCAAACAAGTATATACTGACATTTGGCATAAGTGGTGCAAACCATGTAACTCGAGACATCTCCAAAATGATTTTGATAAATGGACAAGTGGAAATAAAACGATAGATAAATTTCTTCAAGATGCACAATTAAATGCAGATAATTATTGGAAAGTACCAGAATGGATACCTTATGATAGATTTAAGGATATTAAAGAAATAGCAAAGGGTGGATTTGGAACGATATCTAAGGCTAAATGGATTGATGGACAAATTCGGACACGAGATGTTAATTTTCGACAATGGAAAAGATCAAGTCACCAACAAGATGTAGCTTTAAAAAAGTTTGATAATAGTTTTGAAAGTTTAAATGAAGAATTCTTAAATGAGGTAAAACACTTTCTAATAACAGATGTATAGACATGTTTTATAAATTGTATGATATATTAATGTTTGTCATAAATTTTCAAAAAAATATAGATAGAAATTCACTTAAAAACATTGAAAGAAGGTGCTTCTCTCCGATTTTTCGGAATTACACAAGATCCAGAAACAAAAAAATATATTATGGTTTTAGTATATTTACCTGGTGGAAATCTTAGAGATTATTTGAAGAACAATTTTAAAAATATTAATTGGAGTATGAAATTAGGTTATTTAAAGGAATTGGCACATGATTTTGAAAATATTCATAGATTGGATATAATTCATCACGATTTTCATCCTGGAAATATTTTGTCATATAATTTTGAAGATCCTTATTTGTATATTTCAGATTTTGGTCTAAGTAAGTTAATAAAACAAAATACGAAAAATCCCGAAAAAAGACAAATTTTTGGAGTATTGCCCTATATAGCTCCAGAAGTATTAAGTGGAGAAGAATATACCAAAGCATCAGATATTTATTCATTTGGTATTATAGCTTATGAGATAGTTAGTGGTTTTGCACCATACTATGATATTCCACATGATAGAGATTTATCATTACAAATATGCAATGGATTACGACCGAAAATTCCATTTCATATTCCAAAATTAATTACACGAATCATTATGAGATGTTGGGATGCTCGAGTTACTCATCGACCCACTTTTGAAGAATTGTCTAAAGAATTCCAGAAATATTATTGGGATTATCGGAAAAGTAATTTTGATAATAATAATGAAATCACAATTCAAATTGAAAATTCGGAAAAATTATCCAAAAACCTAGGATCATCGAATTCAACAATTCTAACTCCAATGAATTATAAAACACATCCAGAAGCAATTTATACCAGTCGACTTCTCAATTATTCAAGTCTTCCAAAACCTAAGAATGATGAAAATTTTGAAAAAGAACTTGAAGAATTAACAAAATCTACTTCTGCTTTAAGTATTGGTAAGTAATAATTATATCTCGTATATTTTATTTTTTATAATTAAAAAATATTAATTTATTTTTATTTTATTTTATTTAGTCGCCTCTATGTTGCATGTACCCAATTTTTAAACATTTAATCCTTTTTTAAATATATTTTTTATATATTATTTTACAAAGTTTAAAATATACTTTTGTTAGATTTTTTTATATTCATATATAAAACATGAATAATTTTCATTAAATTTGTGACGACGTAAAAAATTTAGAAGATTAAATTTTGTGACAAGTATGCAACGAGAAACAAAATTTTTCCAATACAGACGATTATTCAGTTAAAAAATTCGAAGTTTACTAAAATTATAATAATCAATTCATTAGTATAATAGTTTTATTAATTTTAATTTTTAATAATTTATTGGCTTAATTTTATAATGATAATACTAAAACTCTCTTTCATAATAATTATTATTTTTTTAAATTTATTCAAACGTTTGTACAATATTTTTTTTAATATTTTACTTTTAAATAATTTTTATTTTTGGAGAATAGATAAAATTTATTATTTTACTTTTAATTAATTTTGCATTTTTAGAGAATAGATAAAATAGAATAAAAAAATAAATAATAAATTTTCGTCATTAAATTCAATTATTAACATTAGTATACATATATTGTGATGATTGTCATTTTTCTTTAGAACCAAATTAGTTGTATTTTTTATAGTTTCTTTAATCATTACTTATTAATATACCATAATAATATTTATATAAATTATCGAATACTATCATTCACATGAAATTTTCTATTCATTCAAATGAAATAATTTTTGCGAATCAATATTAATATTAATAAATAAAAATTATACTACTAAGATTTCCATGAAACATAATTCATATTTATGGCATATGTGACCAATAAATTAAGAGCCAGGTTATATTCCAACCTTTGATGTGAAATTTTTCTAACCTTCCTTGATGTTGTTGTCGAGCTTAAGCTCTTGTCATCATTTCGAAAGCCAATTTATATATATTTTTTTAAAAAAATTTCATTTCAAATAATAATTTACACGTATATTGTATAACGAATAGATTCTAGAATTGTAGATTTTTTTATTTAAAATTTTAAATATATTATAGATGTCGAAAATGCAAATGACTTTTTTTAAAATTTTTTGAAATTAAGAAAATTTTTATAAATTACTTGAATTATTTATTAAAAAAATACTTGACAAGAAGACAAACTGAGAAACTATACAACAATCTCACAACAGCCATAGAAGCCTCTATAACAGCAATATTCTCAACAATCGTTTCAACATAATTATTCTGAAAAGTAGGTGTAGGCGGTTCAGGAAAGATATTGATAATTGACAACTGCAATAGGAACAACAAAATTTTTAAAAAAGGGCATGGAAGGCCTAAGAAGCTTGCCAATAACCAACAGCAGTAACAATGTCAACAGAAACAACAACAAGAACTTCCACAACAGCAAAATGTGAAATGTGATGATGTGGATCTTGAGCACAATAATTCAGCTCTTGATATGCTTTCACCTTTGGAGATTGAAGAAAGTATTGGAATGAACCACGAAGAATCACTAAACATGTTGGCTGAAGTTTCACATGTATTATAAAAACGAGAAAGAAGAGAAGGAATATACTGTATACCTTTTTAACTAATAACTGACTAATTATTACTATAAAATAAATATACTTTAACTTTATTAATAATGATGATGTTAAATTCATGCATAAATTCAAGAATTAACACTTAACTCTTAATTACTTGACCACGAATTAATTAACGAACATTATTATTAACCATGATGGTTTCCCACCTATGGCAATTGCAAAATAAAGTTTTTATTTAATGATTATAACATTTTAAAAATGTACTTTTTTACTGTTTGTCTATGTTGTTGTTGTGGTTTATGTTATTGCTTATGTAGTTGTTTATGCTCTTCTGTTTCATTTCTAAGTTTATCACAATGCATAAAATAATATCACACTCAAATAAAATCATTCTGTTAATAATACGTAGTATAGTATAGAATAATAAAGAATATAAACGAATAAAAAGTAAGAACATGCAACTGATATAAATTGTAGATAGATAGATACATCCATACACAAATAAATTAACAAATAAATAAGTAATCTTTCTCAGATAATTATGTCGAGAAACAATTTATTATTATTGATTATTCAACAATGAATTTTAAATTGTATCAAAATTTAAATTAAATTGAATTAGCAGTTCATTTGAATTGCTTAGTAAGATCAAATAGAAGTTTTCATAAAATTAGCATAAAAACGTATATATATGTTGTACCTCAGAATGCATTCTTGACTCAGATCGCAACTGAGGCCAGGTGTCAACCATTGACCAGAATTATGAAATTGGCCTATGTAGATCCTTCTAACCTTGGCTAACCCTAACCCTAACTTTGGCAATCGATCGATCTGAGGCACAACAATATGCTCTATAAATTTGAAACAACATTTTATTTATTAATTACTTTTTTTTGTAGAATAAAAATGTGTCGCTGTAATGTGATGCATGCAGAGTAGACAAATTCATTGGAGTAATGGAACCGCCTATTATATTTATTGAATAAAATGAGTAAATCAGAAAATATGCCTATACCAGATTGATTCTATAAAATAAATGAACTGAGAAAAAAATATTAAAAGTTTGCAATAACTAATATCTCACAAAAGTGAAAGATCTAAACCAGACACCATCAACGGAAGGATTGGGTGTAAGTGAAGTAGCTTTGACCGTGAAAAAGGCTGACAAGATGTCTTTCTTTATTGCGGATCTTAATTCTCCGGAAATAATGTTATTGATTGCTATGTTATTGAAAATTTCGGAAGAGTTAGTTTCTTAAGTTAAATATAGAGAGAAAATAAGTTTTGAAGGGTTGACAAAATTCTATTTACGATTATGAGGGTTTAGTACTGTTACCGCCATAATAAAGGTAGGATCGCAGACGGCTTCACAATCGTTGACGGTAACTCCAGTTGGACCAACTGGATTGTTAAATTAAATCGCTAATATTTATATTTGTACAATTGAAAAGTGTCATGTGAAGTAAAATAATTTTCATACTCAAAGTCCAGGCACGAGCAGTTACGTTGCATTTAAGATTAATCCCGCTATGATGCATAAGGAGAACGCGAATTTATTTTCATAAAAAATTACTTGGGATAACCAGGTTACTAGGAAATTCTGTTTTATTTTTTCGAAATAAAGAATAATTGTGATGAGTATTTAACGGCATTTAAAATATCTAAAAAACAAATTCTTACTAGGATTTCCAATAGAAGTGATAGAGTTTATGTGTAGTTTTGTTTGGAGCTTTAGGATTTTAGCTTGAGAAATTAAGCTAGGCAAGAAAACATGAGACCAACTATTGCAGAAATTGAAATAATTTTTGTTATTGTTTTTTTTTCGTCAATGAAAGAAATAATTTTTTTTTAATCTAATATAATCAAACTAATTTCTAAAAATGTTGTGTTTATAAATAATGTTTCAATGAGTCAAAATCTCGAGCATTTTTATAAGGTATCCAATACTTGTGTAATATTCATTTTTTGTTTAAAAGATAAACGCAGTTAAATATTTGCAAACTAAATATGACCTAAATATGCGAGATAAGATTAGTGTCGCTTTTCATAATTTCAATACGCCTGAACAGGAAATAATACACATGCCGTCAATGTAACTGTAGCCGATCTATTGACCATTTTTTGAAGCATATGTGTTGATCATTCATAATTTTCTTGATCTTGTCGTTAATTGTACAATCTTTTTTTTTTGATTCCGAAATAACTACCCTTCTCGAAAACTGAATCCAAGGCCTATTTTACACATGTGAAAAAAAATTGAAATTATTATCACACATTTCCCGTACACATGGTTAAAATATCAAATTTCCTTATTAAACTTCCCAAAAATACATTGTATCAGTTAATTTGTTAATAATTGATCATTGAAAAAATACTTAATTTAGAATTAAGTGATCATGAAAAAAAGTAAGATAGTAAGGTAATGTTTTCAAATGAATTAAATAATAATATTAAATAAAGAATATTATTGAAATCACGATACATAAAAATAAATATAAAACTAACATCTGACCAAAATTTAATTTTAATATAATTAAAGAAAATAAGATTGTAGTTTTTCATATCTTCGTAAATTAAAAAATTTCAGTTTTCGAATTGAGAACGCTATGTAATTTTTTTATTATTTTGGCAAAATTCTATCCAAACTATTTTTTTTTAAGGTTATAACAATAATTTACTTCGTTATCGATTTAGATTTTTTTAAACTAATTTCTATTTTACGATTGTTTCGTGATTCCATCTAGCATCCATCAATTCCAAGAAAGAAATCAAATTGAATATTTAATATTGAATAATATTTAATATAATTTAATATGTATAAATAAAAATATCGAATACAGTATAATATAATTTAATCACTCGATCTAATCTTTTCTTTCACATCAATCTCAACATCACAAGTTTTTACCTTAATTTCCTCTATTAACAAATTTTTAATTTATTGATTTATTTTGTGATAATTTTATTTTGTGATAATTTTATTTTGTGATAATTTTATTTTGTAATGATTCATTTAAAATGGATTTATAGTATTTGTATTTGACTTTCTAGTAATAAATAATAAATTAAATGAATTAAATAATGTTTTTTGTGAAATTTTTTTTTATTTTCCTTTTATTATTTTATTCATTTATTTCAAAATTTATTTAATTATCCAAATTTTATTTTTATTTAATTAACCCAACGCAACATATTTAGTTGATTATTATAATTATTATAGTTCAAATTTAGAAATAAACTGCGAACAAAGAGTTAAAATTGTTACTTTTCTATTTTTTTATATAATTAAACAAGATTTCAGGATCAGAGGTTTTATACAATTTAGAAATACTTCATATTTAATAATAATTAGATTTTAAATTTGCAAATATTGTAAACTATTAATTAATTAATTTTTATTGTTAAGATATATAGAAAATATATTCTAATAAAAAAAAAATATGAGTTCAAATTTCAGATAAATAAGGTAGATTTTTGTATTTATTTTCTTATCTGATTTTTCTTTCTTGAGAACAGATTCTATGATAAAATCTTTGTTTTTTTAAATATCACTTACCTGATTTTTCTTATGTGATGGATTCTGGGATAAGATTTTTTTTCTTTTAAAACTTGGAATTTCATAATGCGATATTTATTTTTATTAATATTACTTATTTAATTTCTTTCTTGATATTTATCAATTTTTAATAAAATTAATCTTACGGCAAAATATTACAATTATATTAAATAAACTATCGTATAAATTAATTTTTTATAAAAATCGAAGTAAATTGTTATTGTAATCTTTAAAAATATTTTGGAACAAAATATTAATCTGATTTTTGTATGTTTGTCAAAAGAGTAAAAAATAACGACAATGTGTAATTTCAAAGGTACTAAAATTTATAATTTTATTTCTTTAAATATATTAAAGGAACTGATCTTTATTATTTACTATTTTTTTTTTTACTTTCATGATAGATGGAACCTGAAAATAATTAGGTAATATCTTTATTTTTTTAATATTTTGGAATTTTATCTTGTAGAAATTAATTCACATTTAAAAATTATTTTAGATTAGCTTGTCAAAATAGTAAAAAATCACACTGTGACATTGTTCTCAATTTGGAAAAAATTTTTTTTTTATTTTCGATGAGACACCTTTTTATCGCTGAATTTAGATTTTCACTTTTATATTAATATTGAACCCTAATTAGCATGATTATTAAAACATAAAATAAATGCTATCCCTAAAAAATTTAATGTCTTATATTTAAATCTTTACAAATTATAATTAAATAATTAATTTGTAACAATTATTGCCAAGATCAAACAAGATTCGAATTCGATAATAGTCGGGATAGACACGTAACCCATTATATTTCTGTTGTTAAATGATACTTTACTTTTAAATTTGTACATTTTATATTTTAATAAACTTATCTTTTGTGTTGCAATATTGTGAAACATTGTTAAATATTATTTGATACTGTGTTAACACTTTTACTCCACCTTACTCACTGAGCTTTCAGATTAAAAATAAAGAATTAAAAAGAATTATATCATTTTTATTATCTGTTTCGAGATAAGCAAGTTTTGATCGATGGATTGCTTGTCCTACTGGAAGATATAGCATATTAAAAAATTAGTTTGTTTGAGACAAACTCTGAGACTAACAGGCAAAAGTGTTCGAAATACTCTGTACATTTGTGACAATATAGCACAACCTTTATTGGTAATACTACCTGTTGGGAGAGTGAAGGAAAGTATAAGAAAAGTGCTTGGATTTAGCCTAGTAGTTATCAGGAGTTTTGGGAGTATGGAATGTATAGATAATAACTAAAAGAACTAATTTATTCTATAGGAATAAGGAAATCCAGATTTAGAATGATTAAAGACAAAAATAGACAAGTATGAAGAAAGGATAAAAGATAGGACAATAAAGGAGAAGAATAGTAACAGATTTTGAGGTAGGAAGATGAGTGAATCAGAATATGATAGCTTCGCTAGGGACTTAGGTAAAATAATAGATATAGATTTAAGTAAAGAAAGTGTAGTTCCAGATACGTCACGTGATCAAATGAGCAAGAAAACAAAGATCAATAATTTATTTTCAGATTAAAAAGAATGATATTTTTATTAAAGAAAAATAAAGAAAATTCAAGAAGAAATAAAGAGAATAAAGAAAATAAAAAAATCTATCCTAATTTTTTTATTGATTTGACTCAAGACTATCTAACTATTTCTATTTGTTAAGTGATTTTAAAGACTATTCTATAAGGGTATACAGATAAACTGTACAGTACGAAATGCTATTTTGTACTGTACGAATAGTGACTTGTACGGTTGATTAACTAATATCACGTGATATTTTTCATTAATTTTAACCATGGGGAATTTTACCTGGGATGATATATAAATGTGACGAATAATATCTTAGATCCAAAAAATGAATGTTGGGGTGTGTTGAGGTGGTGATAATAAAATGTAACACCACTAATTGATTTGCATGTGATACAAACCCTAACCCCTAAATTTGACATAAATAGATAATAATATACATATATTGCAAGGGTTGGGTTAATATTTAGTACTGCTTGGCTTTTTAATATAAAAATACTTGTACTGTATGGTTTTTTAACATAAAAAGTTCATATAGTACAATTAGATTTTTATAATATATATATTATTGTATGAATTTTGTGCAAAATTTATATAAAATCGTACAGTACAAAATAGCGTTTTGTACCGTACAGTTTATCATCATACCTATTCTATAAATATAAATTAATTAATCAATTTATCACATAATAAGAAGAATAAAATAGAAAAAAAAATGAAAGAAAATACTAAATTGGTACAAAATCCTGAACAGAAAAAGTTTCATGGCCACTGTGGAGGTGGTGACAGTTTATAGTTATTATTACTCCATTGATTTAGTGGTGTCTTACTAAGAGAGTGTTCATATCTTATGAAATCTCATCATTTTTCCTGCAATATCTGCAGTTTCCACAGTACACAGTACAGAAGTCACGTGGCACTCAATTGGAGCAACTGAAATAAAGTATAAATATAGGTGGAAAAAAAGAAGTAAAGATCAAATTCTTAAAGGACAATAATAGGACGGGAAATTTGATGGAAGGGCGAAATGAAGTAGGCACAAGGTAAGTAGATATATGAAGGTAAGTAATAATAAGTGATAATAATTATTGATAATCAAATCAAAAGAAAGATAAAAAGAGGGTGAAAAATGATTTTATGCTTTTGTTGGAATAAAAATATCAATCGGCGTCTCGCTCGAGGCAGATTGAATTAACAATACAGTTCTCGAAAGAAGAAAGATGAAGTCAAATACTCCACCATCCCCCGAACCCGACTCTTTTTTATACCTTTTTGTAATCTAAAAGAAAACGTTT